GTTGTTGTTGGTGGTGGTGGTGGGAGAGGGGAGTGGAGGGTGGTTGGGGGGAGTGGCGCGCTGCATGATAGTGGCTACCGCTTTTCTGATCTCGGCGGCGATGAGCGCCTATCGATCGCCTGCTGTGGTCGCAACGAGCAAGGGATATCAGAATCTTTTTACTGAAGCAGGTATCCGATGAGCTATGAAGCTATTTTTCACAGATATCATTTAGGGGGGCGGGTCAGATAGCTACAACAACAAACAATAAAAAAAACGATAGGAGTGAAAACTATAGGAAAGGTAAGCAAATCACAATTTTTTATTTTTATTTTACCAGGTAAGGCTCAATAAGCTATTAGTTCTTTTTCAGAAGAGACCTGGCCATAAATAATAGCTCAACGAAGTGGTTTATCATGAGCGCCGTGCTCATCCTGTGTGGAAAGCCTGTGTATCTGTGGTGCCAATTCTACATTTCGACATTTCATGGTGGACTACAAAGTGGTAACCTTTTTAGCAGGGTGGCTAAGGTCCACCCGCCTGACCGAACTTGCACCCATTGGATTATGAGCTTACACTATCTTAATGGCTGCAATACCTAAAATGGAAATAACAAATCCGTGCATAAAATCACAACAAAATGGGGGGGGGGGGAAGCAGCCACCCAGGGGTCGCTGTCGATTGTGATTCCGTGGCGTCGTTAAACAAACGAAAACAAAAACTATTAATTTAACCCAGTGATGTGAGGAGGAGGAGGTGGGGTGGAGAAGTTTAAAAAATGAAAGTTAAACTCGAGTGAAAATTTCAAAATAAATACTTTTTTACGAAACCCCAATGCAGAAACATGTTAGCTAATTGAATTAAAGTAGCATAAAAAGTGTGTTATTACATGCTCGGAGAGGCTCGGAGGAACCAGATCGCTTTAAATACGAGCAGGGCCCCAAAAGACTTCTTTTATTTCTTCCTAAACCGACAAATGTAACTTTTTACTGGGCGCGCGCGCGCGCATGCTCGCTGCTAAGTGGAGAGACATGCCCGTTGAGTGTGTACTGGCTGCTTCGGTGTAAGCCGAGGCTAATTTGGCACCGTGGCACATTCCTTATGCGCCACAATTCCCGGACAACGATAATTGTTGCTAATTCATTCCACGGCGGAGCTGCGGCGGGCACGCCGATGCTGCCAACTGCGGCGGCTTGCGTTTGATTCCCGGCCGCGGCTAGCATAGGCGATGTCTGAATTGGTCGAAGAAGTGCTGCCCCCCTTCCCCTCCCCTTCCCTCCACCATCCACACCGACCAGTGTGGTGAAGTACGGTCGAGAAACCCCCACGACCCACACTGCGTTTGTCGGCTGTCATCCAGTATGCGTACGTAGCCGTATGTTTCTGGTGAAGCCACTGCAGTTGATAAAAAAATTGCAGCGTTTTTTCTACTACGTTGATGAAAGTGTTGTGGCTGTGACATTTAAAGTAACTTGCAAGTTTTCCCCCCTCCCCCACTCTTTTACGAAGAGTCAAACTTGTGTTGGACACCCCGGTAGGAATGGGGATTGTTTGGTTCTATTTGTATGCGTCTTGGTAATTTGTTTAGCTTTCTTGTACTGTGCACTCCTGTCGTGTTTCTGTATTGTTTGTTGTTGTGACGTTCTTACCCCGTGCCCTGACTGAACGTCTGAAAAAAAAGCTTTATAGCTCATCTGATTCCTCCAGGATAAATAAATATTCTGATGAAGAGATACACCCAAAAAACTAATACCCCTGATCATGTGGTCTCACGTGTTATTTTGTAGGTGCTCCTCACCATACCTTTAAATAGCATTCTTTCCATTAAGAAATCTTCACTTATGTAGATAGCCCAGGGCACTTGGGCAAAGTTTATACCTGAGAAGGTGGTGGTGGTGGATGTGGCTTGGGCAGTCCTTTATCCAGCAGTGGAGTGACCGTGGCTGATAATGATGATGATATCCCTGTAGGTAGTAAATTGCTCAATCCGTCCATCAGTATCAGCGTCGAGTTCGGAGGTCGATGGTCAACGTATGGCAGGACTTTCCTTCGAGAACAACCTCTCATCCCCCCCCCCCACCAAGTCTCTCTTTGTCTTCCTCTTCCCCAAGAGAAGGCAGCTTGGCAGTAACATTTTCCTTGTTAGCCTCGGACACCATCTCTTTCCTCCCTCGGACGAAATCCCTGCATCGTCCTTTGTTATCCCATTATTTTTAACACGTCTTCATTCGTTGATTGCTATCAAAGCGAGCTAATCCAATTGAGGGTTTGTTAGGGCCTCTTCAACGTGACATGATCATCATTCATCCCAGTGCTTGAAGCTGTACCCTCGGGAAAGGTACAAATTGAAGGCCGATGTCCACAAAAAAAAAAATCAACGAATGTTGATTAAACCATTGCTCCAAGAATAAAAACGTTAATGAACCCTTTCTCGGGGGGCGGCGAGGGGGGGGGGGGTCAAAGGTGTGGGAATAATTCTGCCCTCTTTGACAGACGTTGATATCGTTGAATGATTCCTTAGAATTAATTCGGTGGCAACGCCTAAAGAAAGACCGCGTGTGCAGGAATGTGGCACCGTGAGCCGAGTCGGTTGACAGAATTATTAAAGATGCGGACAGACCTTTCACGGCCGGCCCTGCACGGCGTAGATTTTGCGAGAGACACTCTGAGGACGTTGCGTGTTTACGTGCGACTTAGCGCCCTGTACGATTGAAACTTTGTTGCCGTCTTAAATCGGGTCACACCGGGTGTAGGTGGTCGGTGGTGCGTCGCCGATGGGCTCTCGGCGTCGTTAACATTCGCAGAGATTTCTCGGGGTGAACCTAACGCCTTGATTTCAACAATCCCCACACCGCGTCGTTTTTTGTTTGCCGACTGACCGCGTGGAGGAGACACGAGGGTTTAAGGAGGCACGGCGCTGCAACCCGGAGATGTTGCTCCTGAGACCTTCTACAGTTCTGCCACAAATATGTTTTGTGTTTATGGGGGCATTACCCCACCCCCTGAAACCTCGAATGCACGGGTTCCCAATATGGCCCCCCCCGCACCCCCTACACCCCATTTGAGATCAACTCAACCCCCCCCCCCCGTTCCCCCCTCTCTCCATGGCACTAGTCAACACGGTGTTAGTAAGCAAATGTGTTTCACGTTGTGTATTCATGCGCTTTGCGTTCGTATGGCACGAGTTTCGCGTTTGTGTATGCGTTGTGTTACTACGGCATGTTTTTCATGTTCTATATCAGTGTGTGTTGTGTTAGTAATGCTCGTGTGTCACGTTGTGTATTAGTGTGAGTAGGGCACGTGTTTCACGTTGTGTATGCGTTGTGCTACTACGGCATGTTATTCATGTTCTATATTAGTGTGTGTTGTGTTAGTAATGCTCGTGTGTCACGTTGTGTATTGGTGCGAGTAGGGCACGCGTTTCGGCGTTGCGTGTTAGTGTGCGAGCGAGGGACGTGTGTCACGTTGCGTGTCAGCTTGTGTTGCGCGAGTCCGGCGTGTGCGTGTTTCATGTCGTGTGGTAGTGAGGTTGTCGTCGCAACAGATCGCTGCCGTTAGCTGCGCCGCGCATTCGCCCCCACCGGGGCTTCATGGAAGCGCCTTGCGCCTCTTCAGCTGTTCCGCCATAGCCACTTTGTGCCACGTTCGACTTTTGAGGAAAATACAACTTCCTCGCGGGGACCGGGGTAATCTCCGTCATTATTTAACGCAATTACATCCCGGCAGTTATTCGCAATGCACTGCGCCCGTCACGGTTTACGCCTTGTTACGCTTTGGCGGGCCACATTGCGTAAACAAAACAAGCGCGCACCCTAAAGCCGTACTTGCTCCCACCTCGTGTCGTGTCGAGATTTAGAACGGATTGAACAAAAGAATATTGAAAACACTTAAACCTGATAAGAGAAGTAGGTTAAGAAAACATTAATTATGTACGGTAAAAGCGTCTCCCCTTTCCTCCGCAGTTTTCTTTATTTTTAACAAAGGTTTGGCAGGTGAAGCAGCCTTCACATGGCAGTGATTATGCCTTGGCCAGAATGCGCACGCACGCGCGCGTGTGTGTTTGTATACGCGAGTGTGAGCGTGCATGTGCATATGTGCGCGGGGAGCACTTGCACTAACAGTCTGTTGAAGCTACATGGAGGATATTTGTCTTTGGGGAGCGGTAGTGTAGCGGTTAGCGCTAAGAAGCTGGCGAACCCCGAGTTTGATTCCCGCTCACGGCCAACACCGGTCTTGGGCCTCGCCTAGGTCGACTCAGCCTCATACGAGTACCTGGTGCGGTGTGTAAACATCGCCACTGTGGCGTTGGCCACCCACCCCCTCGTGTGCCCTGCCGACCTCAATAGGTGCTCAGGAACTGCATTTGCCCCCCCCCCCCTCTAAAAGTCCGTTCAAGACTATACGGGGGGGGATCTTTGTCTCTGCGTGCGGGCGCGAGCGCGGGAACGTGCGGAGCAAGCTGTGCCGATTTTAGACGTCTGGTTGCATTGGGTTTGTAAAAAAATAAAAACATGTGCCGGGAAGAAACCAAAAAAATCCCATCATTTGTAAGACAAGGGAGAGTAAAGTGGTGAAATTCCACTCGTTAACCAATTGTTGCTAAACCACTGCTTCGTTCCTTGTTGCGGATGCCACGAAGTCGCCTTTAATACAGCACAGCTTTCTTAGATTTGTGAAGTATAATTCTGTGTTTTAGAGGCAGTTGTGCGTATATGTGTGTGGGGAGCGGTAGTGTCGCGGTTAGCGCGCTGCCCTACGACCCCGGCGACCCGAGTTTGATTCCCACTCGCGGCCAACACAAGTGACTGATTATCTGACCTGGTAGTGGGCTTCCCCTAGGTCGACTCGGCCTCAAATGAGTGCTTGGTGGAGTGTGTAAGCACATCGCCACTGGGAGAGACAAAGGCGGCCGGGTGTGGAGTTGGACACTCAACCTCTCGTGTGGCCTTCACAGGTGCTCGCTAACAGCACTTGCCCCAACAGTGTTTTAAGGCTACACGGGGGATCTTTGTCTTTTCCAGGTTGCACACAGCTCAGCGCGCCATCAAGCAGACCCAGGCAACCGTCAAGAGAGTTCACAGAGACATTGAGGAGCGACTGCGCTCCAAGGCCAGCCACATACTCATGGTAAGCCTCTTCTCCCTTGCTCCACACAGCAGCAGCAGCAGAAGCATGTATGTTGAACTTCTTTCGCACCATACGTAGCCAACCGTGCTAATCGGAGGTGCGGGGGAAGGACAACAAACTATCTTCTTGGTTTTTTCGCTAAAGTCACGGCTGCTTGCGTTGTGGCCGAAACGTCGTGAGAATTGTTTTATTATGTTTTATTTTTATTATTTTATTACTTCCCTTCTACGTGACTTTACCGAAAGAACCAAGAAGATGAATCCCTGCAGTCACGAAAGCTTTAAATCAAGACGACAAACTAAACACAAAAGGCGGTGGTAATGGGGGATGAAACCAGAGATTGTACGATTAATCGATCGTTGATCAGTCAACAAAAAATTTGACGGAAATCTCCAATTTTTTTTTACTTTCGATTCCTCCAGGCCATCTAAAAATTGGTGGCCGCCCCCATGTCCTGCCTCCTGAAGGTGGGAAACCCCCTTATACAAGCCACGCCCCAGCGCCAGGGGGCGCGGCTGATGATGTCACGAGCCCACACTCATTACTTCTTGTTCAAGTGGCGCGCGTGAGATTATTGTTTTTAAATCCTTTATATTAAGTTCGCTTGCGTGCTTGCTTGCTTGCTTACGACCGTGCAAACCTTTCGGTCGTTTTTAAACCCACTTCCCGTGATCCAATCGAGCTGACATTTTGCACACAGACTCGTTGTGCGAGACAATTAATGTTCGTGAAAATTTTTTTTCCAAAATTTTACACTGTTTAGGGAAAACAAATTAAATATTTAATTACCAATTGCTTAATACTGGCAGACAATCATCTGACCCATAGGTGGCAGCCATCTCAAGCCAGAGGACGAGAGGACTCTAGCCGCCACGCATATAAAGGATTTAGAGTGAAAAACTTTGTTTTTACGGGTTATACTTGTTTCACATGATCCTGTTGGTCGAGTAATCATGCTGATACGCGGTTGAAAAATCGATTGCTCAAGTCATCGGAGAGTCCAGCTCTAGGTAAAACTATTTGTTGGCCAAGGTGGCTTGACCTGGTGGCCCTGCCAGCTGTGTCACTGGGATTATGGGAAACGTCAAGAAGGCGGTTGACCCACAGTTTGCCTTGCATCATGCTGTGGGGGAAAGATGCTAACTCAATTGCCTGGTATGGAGGAGGTTGTGGGTTCGATCCCGACCCTGACGTCTGCTGTATATTTGGAGTGTGCATGTCTCTCTCTCTCTCCCTGTGGTTGCGTGGATTTTTTTCTGGGTCCTCTGAGGTTCCCCTCCACATTTATAATGATCAACATGCGTTTTGAGCCTTTGACCGCTATACATTTCCACACGACGATAAGCCACTTTGTTGAGTTATCATTTGTGATGGCCAGGTCGCTTCTGAAAAGAGCAAAATAGCTCGGTGGGTAAAAAAAACAAAATTGTGCCCTCGGCCTACTTGGCACACTGATTTGGCGCACTGATTTTGTACTCTTGGCATGCACGCCACCGGTTCTCCGTGCGGCTTGACGAGCTGCCCAGCAAACTGCTGTCCGCAATGCGTGGGAACTGACCAGGAGGTGGAACGAGAAGGGTGGTTGAACACGTATGACGTGACAATCACGCAAACACGTGTTTTGGATATCGAGTTATGATAGCGAAACGCAAGGAGATTAAAGTATTTTTAGCTCGTGCGTGTATCTCTTTGTGTGTGTATATTAAGACAAAGCAGTGGCGCGATGGTTCGCTCGCTGAACTCTGAACCCAAGAACCTGAGGTTGATTACCGGCCTCGGCGCACGTCAGTAGCGTTTGTTATCGGAACTGGTTCTGGGCCTCCCCTAGCTTGACTCAGCCTGAACACGCGCATCCATGCTGCGTGTGTACATTAGCACTGGGGAGACGAATGCATGCAGATCATGCTGCTGCCCTCACCACTGCCCCTTGCTTCATGAAACCTTTAATAGTTGCTCACTAACAGCAGCAGTTTGTTAAGGATGCAACAATCTATAAATTGTGTGCAATTATTTTTTTATACGTAAATATATTAGTGGGGAATGGCGGCACTGTGATTAACGCAGTGAATCACAAGATTCCTGACCACGGCTAACATCCGTTGCAGGTGCGGTATCTGGATCGGTCCCGAGGTTCCCTTGTTTCAATTTATTTACCTTATGCAGTGTGTTAACATCGGTGCTGGGGAGTAAAATGGGGCTGAGCGTGGTTTTGACGACACTGCCCCATCGTGCATCGTGTTGGCCTTCATAGGTGCTTGCTCAAAAGTCTATCGTCATACAGTAAAACCTTGGATTGCGAGTCACTTGGGCTGCGAGTGTTTTGCAAGACGAGCAAAAATTTTCAATAAATATTAATTTGATAAACAAGCGAGGTCTTGCAATACGAGAAGTACGTGTATACGCTTTGTCTGCCGAGCGTCACGTGATCGCAACTGATGTACGAGTGCTTTGGATTACAAACACGTTTCCGGAACGAATTATGCTCGCAATCCAAGGTTTGACTGTATATTGCGAGTCTCCTTCATTGTATTTAAGTGCATGGGCACAGTGACTTCACATTGCCTCTGCGAGCCTGGCGTCCAAAGTTCCATTCCATTCCATGGATTATGTCACTGGCAAGTCGTGTCTGAGCCGGACCTGGATCTCTCCCTCGCATTGAAGCGACACAATATCTGGTGTGTAGTGCAAACATCAGCAAAAGGCGACCAGGTGTGTTGTGCTGGCAAAACCACTCCCTCTCGCACTCTGCCAGCCTTAATGGGTGTTCGGCAACAATACTTGCGCCAACAGCTTGTCTAGCTAGCTATGCACGTCATCTATGTCTGTTTGCACGTGTATCTGTGTGTTTATCTGCTACCGGTTCTGCGCCTCCACTAGATTGACTTGGCCTCAAATGAGTACCTGGCATGATTTGTAAATATTGGCACTCGGGAGATAAAGGCGGCCGGCCGTGGATCATCCACTCCCTCATTTGCCTTGCTGGCCCTAACAGTACTTGCCACAAGAGTCTGTGAATGCTATAGGGGAGATATTTGTCTTTGCTTCAGCAAGTGCACCTAGCCTGCCACAAGCGCTGTGGCGACGTCACCGCCACTTAGTGGCGAATAGCAGCTGTTGCTTTTTTCTGGGCATGTGATTTGTGTGTTAATGTGTATGTAAGTTTGTTTGTCTCTGTATGTATGTTTCTGTGTGTAAGTGTGTGTGTGTGTTTATGTCCCTGTGTGCCAGCCCTTGCCCCAACATGCTGTATGACTATCGAACGCTCTTTGCTTGTACAGTGTGTGTCTGTGTGTTTTTCTATACCCACATGTCTATAAAAATGTGACAATCTATAACCCTTGCCCAATCCACTGCTGTATAAAGACCTCCACCATGCCGATCAAGGAGTTCGTTTGACCATACTTTACCGTTGTGGTAATAAGAATGTGTCTCTGTGTCTTTGTCCGCCTGTGACCGCAGCTGAAAGACCGCGAGCAACTGCAGATCGGGATCTCCATGCTGCACTCGGAGCTGAAGCGACAGCGCCAGGCCTTGGAGAAGCAGACAGATTTGCTGCTGCACACGCAGATGGAACTCACGCACCGAGGTCCGCATGACCAGAGGCACGCCGTTGGGGGGTCATACTGACCCCATAGCTGAAGCATCGGAAACATTCAAATCGGCCCAATACCTCGCTTGCACTGTAGAACCAAACCTGACCCGCGCCGGGCACGGGTCAGGTTTTGTTTTTCCACTCGAGAAGCCGAGCCGTGCTGCCGACGTCGAGACGGAGTTTTATGCTCGTACATTTAATAACGGCGACGGGTTTCCGACGGCAGAAAGCAACGGCTTCATTGTCGTCCGAATGAAAAATTAAAATTGCCAAACACGCAGGGGCAGAATCCTCCTGAATGAGGGTCTTGAGTCTCAGCGTGGACTTCCTGCGTGAATGAAAAAATAATAAAGTTATAATAAATATGTGATTGAGCGTAATTTAAATTGATTACTGAAATGCGATGAGCTTACAAGTAATTGTTGGCAATGTTGATTTGAACGCTGCGTAACGATGACTTTTTCCTTGCAATTGTTTCACCCTTGCTGTTTGGTTCTGTTAATCCGTGCATTTGTTTGTGTTTTTCATAATTAAATGAGTGCTCGCCTAGAGAAAAAGTGCGTTCTTTGCAATGGAAACATCTCCGTTCAGCGAGCAAAGAGGGAAAACAAACCGTACAGAAAACATGTTCGCTGCCACGCAAGTGGGAATTGAGCACCGGGTCACACAATTTGACCCAGAAAAATTAGGAAATTAAGTAACGTTGAAAATGCTGGTGTATATATGTACGTTTTCTTTTAAAGCTGATGAGGATAAAGTTGTGGTTTTACCATACTTCACTCGAATATCTGATTAATCTCAATGTGGATAAGTGCAAATTATTATGAACGTTGTGTGCGCGCCTTGTCCTCAGTTGAGGTACTGTGCTTACTTTGGCGTCGTGCCATCTGCGCTGTTCATGTCTTCGTTAAATTACCTGTGATTAGCGAGACTTTCTCAGAAGTTAAAACTTCATTTTAGCAACAAGAAAAATAATGCTGTAACAAAGTAAAGGGGCAACGTTTGGGCCAGGCGAGGTCGGTAATAAATTCAAATTATTCCAAAGTAATACTGCTGATAGAAAATGGTCATTACATTTATTTGAAATTCAAGATGCAATGCATCATTGTATTTACTACTCTATAAATCAGCACCCATTCGGTGCAGCCATATTGCAATTTTTTTTGAGCAATTTTAGGTTTATTTTAGATCATGTTTCAATTTTAACTTGATTATCGACGCTGAACCTCCTGTGAAATTTCACAGAGCAAAAAAAAACGCCCCGCCGTAAAACGAATCCAATCGGTCACGAGTTTGCTGATTCTCCACCTCAGTTGGGGGAGTTGAATCAGCACTCTGTTTGCCAATAAACTGAATACCGCTCTGTGGGAACCTTTTCTAATGGATGGACTGACCCCAATCATGGGAATGTGGAATCTTCCACCGCTGTCTCACGGTCATTTGTCGTTGCCATTTCCCTTGCGATCCTCGCTCCACGCCAAGTCTTTGTGTGTGATTTCAATTTAAAGCTTTCGTGACTGCAGGGATTCATCTTCCTGGTTCTTTCGGTAAAGTCACTTCTACGTGACTTTAGCGAAAGAACCAAGAATATATTTGTGTGTGCTTATAAATAGTGTTGGCACAGTGGTTAATGCAATGCATTGTGGACCCAGCAAACATAAGCCACTTCGTTTAGCTATCATTAGTGATAGCCAGGTCGCCTCTGAATAATAAGCTAATAGCTCAGTGGGCATTACCTGGTAAGATATGAATAAATTTCGATTTACAGCTTTCGTGACTGCAGGGATTCATATTCTTGGTTCTTTCGGTAAAGTCACGTAGAAGGGAAATAATAAAATAATAAAAATAAAACAATAAAATTATCACGTTTCGATTGCAACACAAGCAATCATCAGCAGGTTTGAAAACCACAGCAAGTGAAATTTTTATTGTTTTATTTTATTGTATTATTTCCCTTCTACGTGACTTTACCGAAAGAACCAAGAATATAAGATATAAATAGTTAGCTTTATTTGTATACATTTTCACAGTGAGTTGTTTACCTTTCCTATACTTTGCACTCCGATCGTGTTTTTTTTACGGTTTGTCGTAGCATTCTGACCTGCTGCTTCTGGACATCTGTGAAAAAGAGCTTTATAGCTCATGGAATTCCTCCAGGATAAAGAAATATTCTGATCCTGACCTGAGCTTCGACTCCCAGCCATTGGTTAACCTCAGTGGGAAGTGATACTTCAACCGAGCCTAAGTCCCCTCTTCGCCAGCCCGCACTGACCAGTGTGGAGAAGTATGGCCAGGCAACTCCCATGACACACGCGGGTGTAGTGAAAGGCATTAGTCCAGCAGTGGATTGACAGTGGGTTTGTAAATGATATAACTTTATTTATACATCCGCACAATTTGAGCGGTCGCTTAAATTAACTGGGCTGCAATTTAGAACGTATGGCTCTAATTGTTCTAAACCAAACCACAGTTGTGTTTTTTTTTAATTCCTCTACAGCTTTGCCAGAAAGCATTTATTATATTAGCATTATTTTGAAAACGATTAGAATTTTTTTTCTTCCAGCGGATGAGTGGCTTTTAAAATACGCTAATGATAAAACGGTGCCGGGAAACCGCAGGGCTGATTGATCTCATTCAGTTTTTTCCCCTATGGCGTGCAGCGGAAGAACTGGAGAAGAAAAGGGAATGTCTGAAGCAAGAGTGGGAGACTGTGCAGAAAAAAAGACGAAAGCAAGAAGACAAGAGGTACTCTCATCACATTTAAAGTTCATGTATTAGGTATAGCCCTGTGAGCCATTCGGCTCTTGAATCGGGTGCAACCGCAACAAACAAAAAACAAAAACATGAACAAAAAAAATCTTAAAGTGAATATGTGACTGAGTGCAAACAGAAAATCCAAGAAAAGACAGCAAAATATTGCAGAAAAAAACACCGTACACCAACGCTGTGTGCAAAAATCCCAGTGGGATGCAAGTCAAACAACAACAACAACCACAAGACAACTTAGATTAAAGCCATCAGTCTAACTCTGTACTACAACAAACATGGCTAAACCAATACACTTTTTGAAATCACCAAAATATAGCCATTAAACCATAAAAGCCATAAATTAATGAACGAACGAACGCGCGTTTTTGTTATTGCGCTCAATCGCGGAACGAAACATTCTCGGAGCGCAGAGCCCCCTCTATTTGCTGCTGTCCCTGTGCGGCACGTGGTGACTCCGTATCCGGCACCGACGATGGGGGCATTAGTCTGCCAGTAGGGGACAAAGATTGCTATTATGCGAGTCATTTGTGAGTGCTTTTTTTATCGTTGGAAATTTGGCCGAAGTCGACACTCTGTGTGTTTTTAGTTATGGTTAGGGGGGGGGGGAGGGGAACGGAATAACCTGAACAGCAGGAGAACATACAAAATCCGCACGGAGATATACCCGAGTCTAGGAATCGAACCCAGACCCTTCTGGCTGCGAGGCACAAGTGTTATCACCGGACGCCATCCTGCTGTTTCGAATTCCAAAGCCAGTCTATTAAAAGAACAAGCACTGCTGATTTTCCGTGAAGTGGTGTGCTTTTTATCCATCCTGGAGATCCTTATACATCGTGTCACTGACTCTGCTCCCAACCGGTATTTGAACTCCCCAACCTTTTTGATTTGTGGGTCAAGCGCTGTAACCACAGCACATCCTGGCCAGATCCTTGGTCCATAGCGTGGCAACAATAGCAATGACGACCCATAAAAATGATTGGGCGGACGCGACAGGAATTGACGAACAAGAGCCCTTGGTGAGGAGAAACGTGACGATCACAATGCATCGCGGCCACCCATTATTATTCCATTCATTCAGTCCAGTTTGTTGGGCACTTATTTATTTATTTTCACCCAGCTTCTGTGATTTGAGACTTTTTTTTCCTTCTTTCCGGCACGCCGACTTTCCCCCGCGCCGGCTGTCTGTGGCGTCGGCATGTGAGAGAGCACGGCCTGCGATCTCCGTGTCAGATTGCATCAGCGCAAGGAAGGCCCCGGCGTGAGCCTTTAAGATTTTTTTTCATTTAAAAAAAAAATTCCACCACCAACCCCCCACCAACCCCCCCTGTCTCCGCACGAACGGACGCTCGGGTTACAATCACAGCGAGACTCGCGCGTGGTTTAATTGGCTGCAGGCGTTGTCGAACGTCGATCCACGGCAAGGGGAGGAAACAAGGAAATACTACGCGATCACAGCAACGACCCCGACGCGCTCGTCCAAATCTCTTTTGGTTTTTTGACGTGTTTGCTTTTCTTGTTATGGTTTAGTTTTTCCCAGTCGTATTCCAATTGTGCTCTCGGTCGCCGGGCAGAAGCCATTTCCATTCGGAATTCTCACAGAGATCGGTGTGTTTATGTATATATGTATGTATGCTGAACTTCTTTTGCACCGTACGTAGCCAACCATGATAATCGGAGATGCGGAGGAATGACAACAAAATAGACGTACACACAAAAAGTGTACTAAACTTAACTATGAACTCAACTATTTTTAGTTTACCAACTAAGGCTCTTTTTAATAAGTGACCTGGCCACAAATGATAGCTCAACAAAGTGGCTTATCACGTGGGAATTTATTGCAACCAAATTCTCTAAAGGAATGTTTCTAAATGTGGAGGGAAAAACCGGAGGACTCGGAGAACAATCCACGTGACCACGGGGAGAACGTACAAATTCTAGATTTGAAGCTTTCGTGACTGCAAGGATTCATATTCTTAGGTTTTTTCGGTAAAGTCACGTAGGTAAAAAATTTAAATTAATAAAAGTAAAATAAAAATAATTAACGAAAAACCTAAGAATAAGAACATGCAAACTCCAAATATACAACAGGCGTCAGGGTCGGGATAGAATCTACAACCTCCTGTATACCAGGTGAGGTAGTTAACATCTCACCACCGTGTCGCCCGACATCTTGCCACCATTGCATCTAAAAACAGCTCTGAAAAAATGACGTTCCAATGCTTGTGAATTCTGATCAGTAGTCTTTTTTTGTGTGCCCTGAAAAGGGTGTCTTGCATGGCAGTCAAACTGAAATTAGTTTTTCTTCGGGACTTAAATTATCTGAAGTTTAGGGCAAACCGTACGAAGCCCCATGAACATTCTCGCTTGGGCCCACGTTTGAACACCGCATCTCGGCGTTCATGCTCAGTACGCGGCGCTCCCACGTGGCGTTACGCAGAGAGCCGCCACCCACCCGGTCATCCGTCACCGCCTCAAAAACATCTTTCACATTTCTTTCCTCGCAGACGTCGCTGGCATTAAAGATCCCCACTCTTATGCAACGGTGCAGCAGCGCAGTTGCCAGCGGATTTTTTGCGAGAGAGTGTCGTATCTTAAGAACGGAAAGTATGCTAAATTTATCCAGCCTGCGGAAGCGTTTGATGTTTGAAGGTTTTATGCAACATTGTTTTGAAACAAATGTTTTTTATCTGGTAGGAGCAATTTTGAAGTCTCCGTTTTAATTACAATGTTTTCATTCAAGCGCAGAAAAAGCATACCTTATGTGTCATGTCACTATTCATTGGAAGGTTGGCCAAGCTGCACTGTGTTAGCAACATGGACTAGGTTTGAAGATCTTTGGCAAAGAACATTTCCGGCAATTTTTAGTTTTTACACCGAGACCTGCCAAGCTGAAATCCAACATCAGTTTGTTGTTTTTATTTTCTCATTTATTGTTTTTATGACGCGACCTTTTAAATTGGACTTTAAGCTACTGGGGAAAGGTTGTGTTTATCTGTAGCTTTGGGGAAAGTAAAAAAAAATCAATTTAAACGGCAATGAAATAGATTACAAAAGTAAACGGATGATCAAACCATCTTCAGTTTACCTTACGATATCGGCACCACTTAGTGTCTCCGGTGTGTGTTTATGTTGCCAAGTTGTTTTATGGTTTTTGTAAAGTTTTGTTTGCTGTTCTTTTATATTTACATTTCAAAATATACTGAATGTAATCTGGATATCTTGAAAGTTCCCAAAACACAAACATCACATTAACCAGCTTCATACATTGCCACGTGACTTTTTTTGTCTGGAATCCCGATTTGTGATTTATGACACAATTTCACATGTGAAGGGTATTATACCCAGTAACACAACAGCATCTGCTATGCGCATATGAGAGGAATTATGTGTATCTGAAACTAGTCCCAGCCCCCTTAGGTCTACTCAGCCTAAAAATACTGCCTTCGCTTCGTCGTATTAACCACCTTTACCAATAATAATAATGATTAAATTTCGATTTAAAGCTTTCGTGACTGCAGGGATGCTGGTGATCTCCCATTTAAGCGCGAACCAGACTCGGACCTGCTTATCTTCCGAGATCGGATAAGGACGGGCGCATCGACTGGTGATTTGGTTCGTGGGAAAAAGTTCCAATAATTCTCTCCGACGTGGATTGGAGACGAAGTGAGAAAAAACGGCCCTTCGATGTTACGTGTGAAACTTTCCACTGATGCAGCGATGTGGTTACGGACATCGGGCCTGGGAGAGACAAAGGAGGTCGGGAAAGTGTCGTGCTGGCCACACCACCAGCCGTCCTTGTCTCGCTCGCTCTCGGGATGCTCACGAACAGCGACAAATTCCGGCAATGTTCATGGTCTGTTCCTCTATGAGCACAGCAGCATTGACGGGTAGCAGTGTGTAGCCAGCACAGGCCCTCCGCTGAGTTGACTCGAACCACATGAGCACCTGTTGCGGTGGGCACGTCACATGAACGCCAACGTCTTGCCGGAGTATAAACAGGCGGCGGCATGGTCTCGGCATCTCGTGTGCCGTGCCAGCTTTAATAGGCGCTCACTAACAGTGTTTTTTTTTCCGTTCATTTGTGTTTTGTTATTTCCAAGGTCCATGCTGCAGAAAACCAACGCGCAGCTCAACGTGCGCAGACGGCAGATATTTTCCGAGCTCGCTTTCATCTACCCCATCGCTGCGGTGAGTGACACACTAGCTGCAAAGAGCGCTTTATTAAACCGTAGCTCTCCTTGCGCACGTGCGGAGCACGGTCTGCGGCAAACGTGGCGTGCGCAAGCGTGTCTGCGTTCTGTATACGTGTTTGTGTGTGTGTGTGCGTGCGGTAGTGGTGTGGGGGGCGGTAGTGTAGCTGTTAGCGCTACGCTGCGCTACACAAACCTGGCGACCCGAGATCGATGCCCACTCACGGCCAACACCAGTGACGATTATCTGAACTGGTCCTGGGCCTCCTCGAGGTCGACTCAGCCTCAAATCAGTACCAGTTGCAATGTGTTAACATCGACACTGGGGAGACAAAGGCGGCCGGGCGTGGTGCTGGCCACCCACACCCCCTCTTGAGCTGTGCTGGTCTTCATAGGTGGTCACTAATAGGACTTGTCCCAAAAGTCTGTTAAGACTATATGGAGATCTTTGTCTTTGTTTGGTGTGGTGAGTGGTAGTGTAGCAGTTAGTGCCTGCTGCACTACGAACCTGGCGACCCGAGTTCGATTCCCACTCACGTCTAACACCAGTGACCATTATCTCTTCGCGTCCCCAAGGTCGACTCAGCCTTAAATGAGTACCATGCTGCATTGTGTAAACATCGCCACTGGAGAGACAATGACGGCCGTTCCAGGCGTGATTCCAGCCTCATCACACCCCCCATGCACGATGAAGACTTTAATAGGCGCTCGCTAAAATAATCTGAATATTTATACTGGAGAAATCCGTTGAGCTATAAAGTTATTTTTCACACATGTCCAGTAGGGGTGGTAAAAAATAATACCAACCAATGATAGTAGTACAAGAAATATGACTCAAACAGATGCAAATGAAACTAAACCATTCAGAAGCAACCTAGCCACAAATGATAGCTCAACAAAGTGGCTTATCATTTGGACATTTATAGCAGCAAAATAACATAAATAATCTTCTTGGTTCTTTCGGTAAAGTCACGTAGAATGGAAATAATAAAATAATGAAAATAAAACATAATAAAATAATTCTCACGACGTTTCGAGAAGACAGGTATGTCTTCTCGACAGACCTGTTCTTCACTTGAGGACGGCTGCTTGCGTTGTGGCCGAAACGTCGTGAGAATTATTTTTTTATGTTTTATTTTTACTATTTTATTATTTCCATTCTACGTGACTTTACCGAAAGAACCAAGAAGATGAATCCCTGCAGTCACGAAAGCTTTAAATCGAAACATAAATGATCTCAATGCATGTTTATAAAAAGCACGTTCCCACTCTATACGGGATATAGAGGGAATCTTTGCATTTGATTTCTCAGTGTGTGTGTATTACGAAGTGCCTGAGGGTGCATCTGTGTGTGAGAAGGGGGAAGAGCGATGCTAAGGGCCAATGAGCGCAGCGTCTGGCGGATAAAACACAGGTGACCTTGTGGGGCGGTGGGAGGGGGTGGGGGTGTAGGTTTTGCATTTGCCATTCAGGCGGTCAGTCCAAAGCCAACTGGGTTACGTCCTGTGACCGCCTACGAGTTAACGTTTAACACTGCGTACATCTTTCTAGATTTGAAGCTTTCGTGACTGCAATGATTCATACTCTTAGGTTTTTTCGGTAAAGTCATGTAGGTGAAAAATAAAATAAAAAATGACTAAAAGTAATAATAGAAATAAAATAATAAATCACGACGTTTCGGAGGCAACACAAGTCTCCGTCATCAGGTGGGACCGTCACAGCCAGATTTGCTGTTGTGTTGCCTCCGAAACGTCGTGATTTATTCTTTTATTTTATTTTTATTATTACTTGTAGTAATTTTTAATTTTACTTTTTTACCTACGTGACTTTACCGAAAAAACCTAAGAGCACTGCGTACATCATCAAAGTGCACACAGCGTGGCTGAGTACGTTGTTTGTGTCATCGCCACTTGCTGCTGAATGGGGGGGGCGGTTGTTTTTGTTCAGTGGTTCGTACACTGAGGCTCTGATCTTGGGTGACCTCGGTTCTATCTCTCGCGGCAAGACATCACCATCGGTGGTGGGCATCTCCTGAATCGAGTCGGCCCGTAAAATAACCACTTTCGGTTGCATTTTTTTTTCTATGAACGTCACCCCCTAGGATTACGGTGGTGACGAGTCGGCTAGGCATGGCGCTTGTGGTGCTTAAACATATTCCAGCCTCCCCCTTGTGTGCCACATCCGGCCTGTTTTTTTGCGATTCGGCGGTGGCAACAAAGCCTCCCCAAATGTTGCATCATTGCCTGGTCGACCCTCAATCCGTAATCATTGACTGTGATTAAAAAAACGCTTTTGGATATTAAGCCGAGATGTTCCTACCCCTGAATCGTAAACACGTGCGAGCGTGAATCCACCTGGTCTTTATAACCCCCTTTTCTCAACATTTCACCGTTCATTGTTCGTTTACAGGCGGGCGTGATTAATGATTTGTCATGAACAGACTTTCACACGTGATACGTATTGCTGACGTAGTATTCTTTTTCGCCACACTGTCTAACCACGTAAAAATAAAATCGATAAAATACCAGTTTTGCAATGGATATCTATGTTGAACAGTAATCATATTTACTTTTTACCAAAATCAAAAATCATTATTTAGACTGGAGGAATCGGATGAGCTGTGTTAGCTCTTTTTCACACAGATGTCCAAAAAAAATAAGTTACAACGACAAACAGTACAAGAGGAGAGAAAACGAACGACGGGAGTGAAAAAAATGAAGAAATCGGTAAGAAAGTCACGAAAAATAAATGCTTTTAAAATAAATCTGTAAGCAAATCAAGACCAAAAAAAATAGTAAGAAATCAAAGCAAGTGACGATAAATAAATAATAAAGTATTTTACCACAAATTGCACGTAAATTCCTGCCGATTTTTGAACACTAAATGCAGGCTAGAGCAAGGCAGCAATAACTGACAATTAAGCTTAATTGAAGGAAGACACGCCTAAAAAAAACCAACTAAGTGGCTCTGGTGGACACATACCAGGGCCCGTATCTCCCGGGCTGTCCGAACAGAAGCTCGGAGCTTGACTCACGATAAACAAAAATACCACCCCAAGTCTTTAAAGATAAGGACAGGTGCCCCCCTCCTCCCCCATGATAGCTTTGTCGTGGTGCTGCTTCAGGGTGTCTGATTTTGAAGTCCTTTTTCGTTATTAACGGAGCTTCCAACTTGTGTCAGACAGCTCCCGGGCACGCGCACACACTTGGTGTGTATCCGCAATGTGAGCGTCGTTTTGTTTCCTGGGTAGTGCCTTTCTTTTAAACAACCACGCTCAAAGCGTGCAAATACAAATACTCGTAAGGACACAATTACAGGACAAATATATACACACACAGAGATACAGGCCACACGTAGAACTCCATAAGCGGTAAAATAATGATCTTGCAGCCCTTTGTCAGTACACTGCTGGATGAAGCCCTCCCCATGTCGTGCCCATCACCGGGATTGTTGGACTGTACTTCACCGTGCTGCTCAGTGCAGGTTGGTGAATGATGGGATCCGGCTCAGGAGCCGGTTCAGATGTTGCTCACGGACGATTTTTGCCCCTGGTCAGGAGTCGAACTTAGTCAATCTGCTGCTTTCAGATGATTGTGTACTAACCCACTAGTCAAATTGCCATGACTTTTCTGCAAAGCCCTAAGGTTGCATGTAGTTGTTGGATGTTCATGCAATGTCCACTGTGTGTGGTTTTTTGCTGCTGCTGCTGTTCAGAATGACAATGAAGAGCACTTCATCTGCCACATCAAGTTGCCCAACTCCGACAACTTCCAAGGTAGGCACGAGGCATTTTTAACGAATTGTCGTGTTTTTGTGTCGCAATTTGATTCACGAATCGGATATCTGTTACCTTGAGATACGTGGAGATTTTATAGTGACCATGAACCAGGTAAGGCCCATTGAGCTGTATAGCTCTGTTTTCAGAAGCGACCTGGCCACAACTAGCTTATCACGTGGACATGTATAGCAACGAAACACTTTAAAACGCGTGTTTCTAAATGTGGAGAGGACCCGGAGAAAAATACACACGGCCCCGGGAGAACATGCAAACTCCAAATATACAGCAGGTGTCGTGGTCGAGATCAAACCCACGACTTCCTGTATACGAGGCGAGGTAGTTAACATCTCGCCACCGCGGCACCAATCACTTACAATATCTCATCACATCACCGTCGGCCATGATCTAGCCACTGCTGGATAAAGAGCCACTCAAGCTGTCCCCATGTCTCGCAGACCTGCGATGTGAAGATGTTTACGGTTAGCAGACTACCTGTCATGATAGGCGGATGAGAGAAACAAGGGCTTTAATCATTGCAAATGAAAGAAAGACGGAAAGTGCGTAAATGAATACGGAGAAATGCGTGCTTGGGATTATCGGTGAACGAAATAGGAACGCACAGACACGTAAAAGAACATTCACAGGTTGGACATCACTCGTACATTATATTCGATTCCAAAACAATCGATTCTCTTACGCACCATCCGAGGCATGCATTGCGAGCTCAAGAATATATATATATTTTATTCTACTGAATGAATCGATAAACCGTGACATGCCAAGTAAACACAGCCTCCCCGACGCCCCCGTCGTCGCCTTTGACGCCGTCCCCGTCACCTTTTCCACGGCGAACGCCGCTAAGGGAGCAAGCAACTGTTGGCAACGTCCACGGTGAACGTCACCTCCAAACCGCGTCCGCAACTCGCCAGCAAACCGTCTCCCGCCCTTGAAAAGCATCAAGGGAATCCCGCTTTGCAAACGTGTTTTTTTTTGTAAGAATGCACACATTTTTTTTCCTCTTCTCTATTTAACTATTTTTTGTTGTTAATTCACTTGCACGCACGTGCCGGCGCGCGTTTGCCTTCGCTCCACGGTGACCCCCGCTCGCTTGACGCGTTGCAGTCGCGGTCGGCCAACTCCGGGCACCGGCGGAGGGAGTAGTTTGCCCGCCCCCCCCCCCCCCTTGCTACGTTGTGGGTGAGCAGTCGTCCTTCTCCTCTGTGTCTGTATGGACGCGCTCGTAAACGATGCAACAGAACCTGAGAACGCATGGATTGGAGAACGTATGCACGTACGCAAACAAATTGAATAGACGAGACTGATTGTTGAGAAAAGCAAGTGGGCTTGGGTAAGACGCGTCGTTTCCAACGGATGATGGCCGGTGGTCAAGCCCAACGACGACGGAGTGGCAGCCGAAGGAGATGAACGCGCTCGAGAGTACGTTCACTGCAAGAGATGGAGCGATGCAATTGGGCGGTGTGCAGGTGCTCGACTGATCGTTTGTTGCGTCTTGAAACTGTCAGAGACCGCGATGGCTTGGGGATATATTCATCCGGCAGTAGACAGATCATAACCGATGGTGATGAGAGCCTACTCTCAGACACTGCCTCTTTTGCAGTGAAGGCCTGAAATCAAAACAAACAATGTAAAAGTGCACGGACGGTCTGTGTACAAGAATGAGCAACGCGATCTTGAAGTCGACTGTGACGATCAAAAAAAATGTCCAAACCTAAATATAATTAGGTCATTCAAGGTGCAGTATTTCTATTTTTGTAAACGTGACAAATACTTTCACAGCCCCTTATACATTCTCTGCCGGATGACGACCTCCCGGCGTGCCGTGTCGTTCATCAAAGTTCGACCGAACTTCGCGACGTTTGTCATCGCGTGTTGTTGACGGCCGACGAGTGGAGAACTCGGGCGGCGGTGGGGGACAAAACCGGTTCAGATATCACTCGTCACTCACGTTAGCCGTGGCTGGAAATCAAGCGCAAGTCGCCCGCCTGTCGGGGTCATTGTGTCGTGCGTGCCAACCAGCATGCCCCCCCGTGTTATTGCCAGTTAACCCGATATTGTACATGTTCGCAGAGGAGGCAGTGTTACACAATGCATGCCGTCAGGTACGGCGCAGACAATCACTGCCAACCCCCTTAGAGCCATGCATTCCACACAAATTGCAAAGTTTCATTGCTCCTGATAAAAACACTGCCTGCCACCCACCCACCCACCCACTGCTGCAATGCTTCAGGAAGGATGACGCCAGCCATCTCCAACAATGGGTCGGAGTATTTAATGTTTTCTTCAATCCATGGCTGAAGGTGTTGACTCGTTAGCTGTGCGTGTAACGCGGTGGGGGGGGGGGGGGGGGGGGGGGGCGGCACGATACATCTCGTAACAAAGTTCTAATAAGGATAGGGGTTTGATTGAACCCATCATCTCTTCGGGGTTAATAAACGAGTACCGTATTGTCAGAAATCGGTGGCCTGTTCTTGCCATAGATATGTGGAATTTCCACCACTGGGCTCAAGGCCATCAATGGAGATTAGCACAACAACTCGCTAGTTTGAACACCGGCACACTTTAACATTTGTGCACAAAGCAGTGTTTTTCATTTATATTCTATCAAGAGTTTAGATTTGTGCTCTATCACGTGCTTAATTTTCTCGTGAGATGTTTTTACACAATGGATTGTCTGTAAGTGTGTTGCGTGGTATTTGTGAGGGTTTTTATTTTCCATTTGTCGCTTCGTTGCGTATTCTACATATGTACGTTCTACTTTCCATGCGATCTGTGCTGCATTGCGTGTTTATGTTTAGCGGCATTTTTATTACCGTCATGTGTTTTTGACTCTAGATCACTTTTTACATTTTGTTACGTGTTTAAAGTGTGTATTTCCCTGACATTTGTAGTTGGGAAAAAAAGTCTTACATTTTTTTCTCCCCCTCCTATGTTTCCTCTCCCGTTTTGTTTATTTGCGTTTCGTTAACCTTTGACCCCACTCGTTGGTTTTTCTCCGCTTAAAATATTTCGTCTAATTATTTTTGACCGTTCCTTTCATCTCCTCCATTTCTCTTTTCGTTTCTTTTCATCCCCTCCTCGCCCCTCCCCCACCGCATGTCACATTTCTTTATTTATTTACACACATTCTATTTTTTTCTTTCTTTTTTGGCCGGGGAAGTTTCACGTCATGTTGCATTGGGAGACTCTGCATACGAGGCTGCACAGACGCACGCACTCACACGTCGGGAGCGCGTATTCACGCTGCCAAAACCACGCTTTTGACCTGGGGAGGGGGAGCGGGGAGGAAAGGAGGGGGGTGGAGGTTTGAATGGGGGGCGGTGGGGAGGCAGGGGTGGTAGAGAAGGGGCAATCGACCCGGAGTTGTGTAGGGGGGTGGGTTGTATGGATTTTGGGATGGGGGGCACAGGGGCATGGGTGAGATGGGAGGGGGAGATGGAGCGGGAGAGGAAGTGGCGAGAGAGAGAGTGGGAGAAGCAAGGCCTGCGTCCCCCTCCAGTGCGTCGTCTAAATATACCGCCTGACATTATGAACGGCGCCTTCCGATGGCGAGGACTTGTTGCGCGCTCCCATCGTGCTCCGAAACAGACCCGATGCCGTTCGGTCCGAGCAACGGACTAGGCTGGCGGTGGGCTGTGCGTTTTGGGCAAGGCCGATCTGCGCAAGGTTGACCCTCCAGCAATCGATGGCGTTTCTGTATGCGTCAGTCGGAGTTGGGAGGTTTTACAAACCTTGATAGATAATTCTGCTCCAGGAAGATGGATGGCATGGACGCCCTAAGTGCGTAAATAAAACCCAGAAAGAAGTTGTATTGGGGATGAAAATTCATACTCGTGCAGGGCGGATATCCTATATGTGGCGAGAACAATCATACTAATAATATTATACAGTTCTTTATATGGCAACTGCTGGATTAAGGCATCCTCGGGCAATATCAGGCATGAGGTTTGTTTGACCATACTTCACCACGCTTAATGGTGCGGGTTCGTGAAGATTAGTTGGCCCAGATGCGATTGAGATATCACTCACCACTGATTTGAACCATGACCAGGAATCGAACTCGGGGTCACCAGGTGTAGCGTAGAGTTCACTAACCACTGCACCACGATGAATTTCTCATCAAATTATAATAAAAATTATTTCACGTTGCAACATGTACTTTGTTCACTCGCCGTCGAAGAGAGAGAACGAAGAACCATAGCAGCAGCCAGGCGCTCAGCCGGTGCCAAATTCCTCCTTTCCCAAGCTCTGGGTTCCTACATATATATTAAAGTGTTATCGGCCAATAAACAGTGTTTATACGTGGTAGGAAACTAGACCACCCAGAGGAAACCCACACGTGCGAGGGGGCAACACGCTATACTGTACAGATAGAACGGGTGGAGTCCACATTTTGCTGTGCAAGAAGGGAGTTTCACAACGTCTGTGCGGCGATCCACCAACAAACCTTCACTCCCCGCCTCCTCCACACGGTGCTGGATTACAGGCCTCGTGCATGGCCACCACCTCCGACCGGCTTATTGACCCTCATTGTCCTCCGCTCGTTGCTTTGCAGCGATCTGCACCCCCCCCCCCCAACCTTCATCTCGGCACACATGCCGCCTGTCGTGGGAATCGCGGGGAGATAAAAAGTCAAATACTAATTTACCGCAATCGTGCGAGCGTTTGTTCCGGGACACACTTGCCCGTCCGTTCATCGGCGGCAGCGGCGGGCCGCGTCGACAGAAAGCAATTTGTTGATTTTTGAGGACATCCGGCCGGCGTTTGTTTACCCGCGCGGCGCGTTCCCAGCTCGAGGACACGGGCCGAACGCGACGCCACATGCGCCCTCCTATTTTTAGGCGGTGGCGGCCATCGCCGCCGCCGCTGTTTCGGATTAAATCCCCGCGCACGGAAGTGGGTTGGCGGCACGGGGGACGAGGTGGCCGCGTGCGTGCGCGTGCGTGCGCGTGCGTGCGTGCGTGCGCGCGCCGGTGGCA